GTGAAGTCACAAACAAAACAAATGGAATTTATTTTACAAGGAAGATGTTTCAGACATTGTTTCAAAAATCCCAAGAGCTGTGCCTGGGTCCCTGTGACTCCTAGGTGTGGAGCACAGACACAAGTGATATTCCATGATATTGTTCTCCCATCTGCCAATATCTCTGTCTCTGCTTCCAGCTGTTGTATACAAATGTGATTTTTCCTTGGCTCCAGCCTGGAAAGCCAAGCTTGGCACCTAGGTTTCATTCCTGATTGTGAAACTGCTTCCCTTTTTAGGCATGTCACTTCATTTCTCTCTGCTTCTTTTTTCCTCCTGTACGATGTTAACGATGTAGAGTATTGAAATATGTGGTTGACAAACGATAGATGAATGCAAGCTGAATGTTATTGTGGAAACACCTTTACACTTACAAAGTTTACTTGTCACTGTGAAATACTGTAAAGGACTTAACTAGTGTGGTTTAAGTATAGTATGTTGTAATCACTTGCTTTTTCCCCCCTGTGCATATTTCCATTAATTTGCATTATCAGCCAGTCAGTGTGAGCTAGGCAGCTTTGCTGCATATGTCTTGCTTGCGTATGTTTTGCTCTCTGGTTAACTTGCACCAGAACTATTACTGTCTGTGCTTGTTTGTAAAGAGGAGATTGATCTTCTCAGAGACTCAGACTCTGGGAGATAGTACTGTCACCCCAAAACGTACCCTAAACAATTGTCACGTTGCAACATTTTTGAGACAATTATGATCGAGGTGGTGCAGGAAGAAGCGGGCTCGAGTCCCTTCTTTACCCTGTCTTCTGTTAAATGCTGGGAGATTCTAGAGCTCCCTTCTGCTCCCCATGGTTGGTCTTGGCAGCTCCTAGAAGAAAAAAACTGAAAAAGTTAAATGTTTGCTCCTGAGATGGCTTTAGTGTATTTGTTTTGTCCTTTTGTCTTCTTGCTATATTTGGGGAAATGCAGTTCCTCAGCCGGTCACTTGTGTTCTCTCAAAGGCTACCTTGGCGGCTGGCAGCATGATGCAAGCCCATGGAGATTTTGACGTTGCCCTCTCCAAATACAGGGTGGTAGCCAGCACCGTGCCTGAAAGCCCCCCGCTGTGGAACAACATTGGGATGTGCTTCTTTGGGAAGAAGAAGTATGTAGCAGTAAGTATCTGGTTTCCTTCTGTTTTTCAGCTGTAGCTAACTTCATGCAAGAACAAGATTCCTCTTGGGGCAGAGACAGGAGGTGTGTTTTGAGTGGGCTGTGTTACAGCACGCTTGTTCCTTTTTTTGAAGGCTATCAGCTGCCTGAAGCGGGCAAACTACTTGGCTCCCTTTGACTGGAAGATCTTGTACAATTTGGGGTTAGTCCACCTCACGATGCAGCAGTATGCATCGGCCTTCCACTTCCTCAGCGCAGCCATCAACTTCCAGCCCAAGATGGGAGAGCTGTATATGCTACTTGCAGGTATGCAACACTCCATTACCAGCTCCGGTGGATATCCAGCTTAGGGGGGGGCAGCATCGAAGAGACAGAAAGTTTGGGCTGAAGTCAACAAATATTGGACAAGGCTTTACTGAGAAGACGTTCCCCAGTAGGTCACTGACAGGTACAAAGTCTGAATCGTCTGGTCGCTCTCTGTGGTGAATAGGAAGGTTAAATTGCAGTCAGACCCACATTAAGCATTGGAAAAGACTTTCTACGTGTAGGAGTTTGGATTTGGGTTGCCTAAGGAGTGGGTGTGGATTTCCAGTACTGGACATTTTTGGGATCAAGCCAGACAAATAGTTGTCAGATGTGACATTAGTGGTCTTAATCCTGGCAGCAGTGCAGACAGCCCTGCTAGCACCTGTTTATTTTACGATGTAATGACGTTCAGAATTGTCCTAAAAATGAAGTCCGTGTGAAGCACCAACTTGTATGTCTGTGTACATTTTGCTTTGTTACAGTTGCTCTGACAAACCTCGAAGACATTGAGAATGCAAAACATTCCTATGAGCAAGCTGTGGCACTGGACAAGTAAGTCTGAATCATGGCTGTCAGTCGTTTGATCGCGTTCCTTTGCCTCCCTCACCTGGTTTGCTCTGCGTGCTTTGTCCTGCTGTCTGCTTTGACCCTAAATGGTTTGCGATAGGGAAACATTTTTATTCCTGCAGCTGTGCAAGTCACTGCTTTAAAACCACCTTTTCTCTTGTAAAATTCAGATCAGCTCTGAAAAATGAAAGGGAAATTTTGTTTCAGTCCAGCCAAAGCTGGTTTTTATTTTGCTGTTTAGTTAGTGAGTCAGTGGTGATGTCTTTGGATTCCAGGCCACCTTCCAGGGAATATTTATGCACAGCAGAGCAAATTTGATAGAAGAAAACCAGTCATCCCAGAATGTTTTGTAACCCAAAGTTTCAGCACTGTGCAGAGCAACGAGAGGCTTGGTATAAAGCCTGTTCTGAACTGGGCAGCGTGAAGATTTTAGCTGGGAGAATGTGGGCAAGAAGCTAGTATAAAGCATATAAAAGCAGCGTAGTCCTTTCTCCTCCATTTTGTTAACGATGTCTGTGTTTGCAACCTAGCTCTTAAAATCAGAGCACTCGCTTTCAGAAATGGTAAAATGAACCTTGCAGTATTTCATCATTTCAGGCAGAAAACCAGATCAAGTTTATTAGTAGTTTTGTGTCTCTCCCCAGTTTACTGTGAATATTTGCATATTTACAGCAGCCAGCGGGGTGTTTCTGAACCCAGCAGTTTGTATGCTGGTGGCAGAGCTGTGCCAAAAGCACTCTTTTCTACCTGCAGCGGCCACGGCAAGGTGGCATGAGGAGGTGCTGGTCCCTTTGCCTCTGTCCTCTCTAACATAGGTGCACTGGGGTTAATTTGGGGAATTCTGGAAGTTCCTAAGCGAATTATAAAGGGCAGCAGGTTTCAAAAACATAGTGTTTGACACCATAGGGCAATTGTCTTTGTGAAGAGGTGCTGTAAATGCTTTCAGATGTTTACTGGGAATTCCATGGCTTGCATGTGTAACAGTTAGCCCTACACAGCCAGCACACATCTGACACTGCAGTTCTTCATACTTGTGCAGAATTACAAAGCAGGTGTAAATATTACTTCTGCATCTGTTTCAACTGTCAGTAGGTCTGTGCAGCCTCCTGAGAGGAACAAACCTGTGCAGACTGTGGTCAAAGATTTGTCTTTGTATTGCTGCACAGGAGTGTGTTGCAGTTGTGCATTGGTCATTCCTGCCAACATGACGAAGTCCAGTTGACTCCTTTGCCCGGCTTTCCTAACCAGCCTGCTGTGCCTAGCAAGGCAGTGCAGGACCTTAAAGATTGCTCAGATTGCTTAGTCATGAATTTGCATGCTTTGATCAAAGAGAAGGAATAGAAATATAGCTCTACAACTTCACCTAAGTGTTTGGCAATGCTATGATGCTACAGCTATAGAGTCTTATTGGGAAAGTAAAACCTCATCAACGCAAAAATGAATGCCAGCTGCCAGGGACTGCTGGGAGGAATAGCCATACTTTGTTGGGCTTGTTCAGTGGACATGCTGTAAATTTTAGACCATTATTGTGTGGCCGAATCCATGTCCCCACAGGCTTTCTTTGCTGGCATATTATGAACTGTTTGGCTGGGATGAAGATAGCCATGTTTGTTTCCATTGCCGTAAATACTTTTATAGCTGTGCTGTGACATTTGGCCTAGGTGCCCTGCTGGGATCTGGGATGGAAAGCATCTTGGAAAAATCTTCAAAAAAGGTGTTTCTTCCTAGTACTGATTCTAGCTCATAGCTGTCCTTTCTTTCTGTGGTTATTAAGCTATTGATTTTTCTAGCTGTCATATGGCTTCTCAGCTCTTGAAGGTGAATTAGCTTGATAAAGTTCAATTAATTTTAAAACTGGCTGTTCCCAGATCTGTCTGATCTCTGCGTTCAGTATTTTATTGCGTGGGTTTGTTTTTTTGTAGTTCCTTTCTTGGCTTTTATCTTTTCCCCAAAGAGATGGGGTTTTGATATTTATTTTTTCATGCATTTCTTCCTTCACTTTGGCAAAGACAGCGAGGAGAGATTTTTTTGTGCCAGGATCAGTGTTCCGCTTTCTGTAGGTGACCCTGCTTCGGCAGGAGGGTTGGACTAGATGACCCACAGAGGTCCCTTCCAACCCCTACCATTCTGTGATTCTGTGATTCTCAGTTAAAGGAAAACCAACGGTTATAAATGCTATCAGATTTCCTCTAATAGTCGTCTTTCTTGTGGCACTGACATACAACTTACCGAGGATGGGTGGTCGTGGCCTGCAGATGACACTTTCTATTTCTTGAGCAGTGTTAGCAGAAGCCTTCCCTTCTGCGCTTTTCACAAAGGATGGTCTCTGTGTCTTGGCCCCCCAGGCGTGGGTGCTAGAGTCCTTGGGTGGCTCCAGTTATCCCTGCCACGCTCCAGGAGAGGGCACCAGCCCCTCGCTCACATTTATTGAGCAAACTGCACAAAGCATCTCTCTCGCTGTGTGCAGTGATCCATGACTGCGGCTGCTCTGCGGGAGCTGCGGTTGGACAGTGCTCTGCTGCGCGCCCCTCAACCGCACGTCCCCCGGTTCTCGTCCGGCAGCCTGGGTGAGCTCCCAGGCTGGGGCCGCTGCCCCCCTTGCCTTTAATTTCTGTGTCAGGTAACACCCATGCGTTTTGCTTCTCCGAAGCAAGGGTGAAATTCAGACTGCTGAAGAGTGGTCAGAGCAGTTTGTTGAGTGTGGCTTGTCGGGCAGTTGAGGAAGGATCAGGCCTCCGAGAGCTTCACTTACCAGTCGCAGGGCCAAGGGAGTCA